AAATTCTCGAATGGGACGTAAAACAACATACAATCAATCAATCAAAATACTCGGGCTTATAAGATTTAAGGTCTGATGACACGTTGCTCGAATATCAGTTTTGTATCTCTTTGTAAAATACAGATTAAATATAATTATCATTAATGATTTTAAAAACTTTTTTCAAAATGTCCAAGTAGATAAAGACACCAACAAAAATTGTGATATTGCAATGCTAGTGATTTCCAATAGGATTATATAGCAAATTCCATCCCCTGGTATCTTGCACAAATACCTGGTAAGGTACCTCAATTTTTTGTGAGGAAACTTGTTAAAGTAGCAATACTTCAAGGACAAATTCTTGGAAAAAAAATTATATATTATTGAGGAACGTGTCGTCTGACCTTAAAAAAACTATTACGACACGTGAATTTTGCAATAGCGCTCTATCATTTAACATGCAGTTTGATTTTTTGTCTGTATGTTGTTTAACGTCCCTCTCGAGAATTTTTTCACTCATATGGAGATGCCACCACTTGCCGGTGGAGAGCTGCAAATTTTGTCCTATACTCGGCACTTCGGTCATTGAGCAGTGAGGGGTCTTTTTCGTGCCAGCACCTACTGCGACACGGGATCTCGATTTAAACGATCTCATCCGAAGGACCGGTCTCCACGTCCCACAGTGGGATTCGAATCCGCGACGTAAGGATCAACTCCTTACTCTGCAACTCTAGAGCAAACGCTCTAACCACTGCGCCACGCAGGCGACTTTTTTCTTGAAGGAATACTGCTTCAATCCAATTTGAAAACTGGTCATTTTGTACAAGAATACCCAATATATAAAAATTTACAAGTTCTGACTTATCAAAAGCTTTCTTATGATCAATAGACCAGAATCATTATATGTATGAACAATTTCAAAATCGAGGTAAGTTATTGACAAACAAGCTGAAGAAACAAGAATATCAACAATCTCGTTTAAAATTATCATTTCGTAAGTTCTATGGTCGACACAATGACCTTTTCAGAAAATACAATCTATTATTAAGTCATATGCTGACTGACGATTTTCATACTAATTGTTAGGCCATTATTTACACACTGAATTGTCGACGAGTTTTCCCCTTATTTACTGATCATGCCACGGAGCACATGGCGGGTATGACCGGTTGGCACGGGATGCTCAATCTTAAATGGCACCTGATCCACCTCTGATGTTTTTTTTAGGTTCCATTTGCTCTGCTCCCGATTTGTATTGTTCTAATGGACTTTGAGCTAGAATACTGTTCCTTATCTCCATATTTCATGTACGATTGATATTTCAACTATTTGATGCATTTTAATGTGACACGATGTCAATGCTTTTCCATTTTCCGAGTTAATCCTGTATCTTATTTTTTACATTCATCAGAACGTCAATGACGATACTGTATAAGACTGGAATGGAGCTTCCATAAAATATAAAGGGTCCGAATAATGAAGTTCATCTCCGCCAATTTCTTGCTGATTTTGATATTAACTGGGGTAGACGGTAATTATTAATTACACAATGTTTTGTCAAATAGATGCGTAGCTTGTTGGAGTCATTAAAGTGGCTGCAACGTTATTGTTGACAACATACACAAATGATCACGTTACACGAACACTCCTGTTACACGAATGATTCTTCACGCACACGATTCTACACGCTACACGAACGATTACGATTACTATTGCAAACGCACGATTTTTCACACAAAATAGTTAAAAAATATTTAGGAATTTATAATTTCGAAACCAAAAAAAGACTTCATCGTTATTTTAGATTTCAAATAACTACGTAATTCACTGACTTGAAAACTGGAAAAATATTTAGGAATGGATATTTTCGACACAAAGGAAGACTTAATAGTTGTTTTAAATTACATATAATTATTTATGTATTTACGGAAGCGTATTAGGGCCGCAGCAGTATCTTTTATCAATTTGTTTTAACAAATTACTGATATTTTTTATAACAAATTACTAAATTGTTATGACAAATTATCAATTTGTTATAACAAATTATCAATTTGTTATAACAAATTACTAATTTGTTATAACAGATTAACAAATTACTAATAACAAATTATCAATTCGTTATAACGAATTACAAAAATACAGAATGTTGAATCCATCATACTGATAGAAATTCGAAAATCCGGACAATTTAATATGATTTCAATGTCGTCCATTCAAATTAACATTGGATTGGAATTTTTTTTTCAAAGTCAACACAAGGGTCAAAGGGGGGGGGGGGGGAGACCTATTTTTTCTTCTTTACACATGTATAATATTTTGTATGTATTGTTATAACAAAATTTTATTGCTTAACGATTTCTTGTAAAATGTATGAGTAGTCCAACCAGGATACAAATTATAAATATATTTGAAGAGACAACTGTCTCAGTTTTCAGCGAATAAGTTATGAAGTCTTTAGTGGGACTTTGAGAGCTTTTCCAAAAGGCGCTTATTTTGATAAAAAAAATTACATACATATATGAAAAAATAACACAAGGTATCTAAATCCAAATTCTACCAAGTACTACCCACTCAAGAATGTTGTTTATTTTCGTTTTCAGAAGAGGTTGTTACAGAGTGTTTATCATTCTTTTGTGATTATTTATCTACAAATTCATTTTTGTCAATGTTGCCTTTATTGTCCACAGCGTAAAATGGGGCCAAAGAGGTTCACCAGAGGAGGTTTTTGCATTAGGAACGGTGGTTTAGTTAAAAATATTTTTTTATCATTATACATAAACTGGTTTGAACAGTAGGCATACATGCCTATAATCACTCTCTCCATTTGTCAAGGTACATTCATGCATAAAATTAATAGTACATTTAAAAACTGAAAAGCAGTATTAAAGTACATCATCATTGTAAATATATAGAATGAATCGAGAGAGATAAAGAGAGTAAAATGTAATTAAAAAAGAAGACATATTTTTAAAAAAGACATATTATGTTCGGACATGTTGATTCAGGGTGGGAAAAATTCCCTCTCAAAATAACATGTCTTAAATAAGAGATTTTTTCCTTGCATACGAACCGGGGATGCAATGACCTGGTAGATGGGATTCAAGGACGGAGCCCGGGGGGGGGGGGGGAACAGGACAAAATTCAATTGAAGTTCCTAAGAATAAGCAATTAGGAACCAACGAATTTTGATGCATTGTATCTTTATAACAATAATGTTTGACAGTGAAAACTCTAAGTCCTAAAAGATGTAAATCCAGATTAACATATTGGCACAGGACAAAATTCAATTGAAGTTCCTAAGAATAAGCAATTAGGAACCAAAGAATTTTGATGCATTGTATCTTTATAACAATAATGTTTGACAGTGAAAACTCTAAGTCCTAAAAGATGTAAATCCAGATTAACATATTGGTCAAAAGCTGTAGCTGCAGAGCTTATATATTTTTTGTTTTCACAAATCCAATTTAAAATAAGATTTCTGATCTGACCTGGCTTCCGTAGATCTATATACACCCTCACTTTACCAAAAATAGTAATTTGTTATAACAAATTACTAATCTGTTATATCAAAATTTTAATATGTTATAACAAATTGATCATTTGTTATATCAAATTGATCATTTGTTTTAACAAATTACTAATTTGTTATAACAAATTACTGATTTCTTAAAACAAATTACTGATTTGTTTTTACACACTGATAATTTGTTGTAACAAAAATTGATAATTTGATATAACAAATAAATAAATTGTGAAAACAAATAAATAATTTGTTTAAAAAAAGAACAAGGTACGGTCTCAATACCAATCTTGCCTTGTGTTTTTCTTAAAAATGAAAGTTATGTAAAAATTAAAACTCATGCTTTCTGAATCATTGAAATTAAATGCAGATAGATGTTGCAAATCATTTTTCTCACATGACCTTCTAAATGCTAATAGTGACGTCATAAACGTGCATTTTCCCGTATTTTCTTAAAAAGTTGCAGAAGACACCAATATTTCCATAGAAATTTCTTTAGATAATATTGTCCACATGCATCGCCCACAAAGATTTTGAGATACGTGATTTTTCAAAAAATTTTACACAACATATCCGAAAATTATAGTGTGTGATGGCTGTAGACATTATTTTCTTAAGGAAAATAACCCTTGAAATGGGTCATTTCGAGTTTTTTTCTGTTTAAAACAGAGAAATGCATCAAATTAATGACGTCATATTTCCAGAATGGTACTCTTCATGCCATATTCTTTCCTGATTTATCACATTCATATACTCTACTAATATTTAAGCCAGTTTCAAAACTTTTTGTAGACATTAAATTTTTAGTGCATAATAAAGTCAAAACTGTACCTTCTTCTTAAAAAAAGATTCTGCTGCGGCCCTAATACGCTTCCGTATGTATTTCATCGACTTGGGAAAACTGGAAAAAAAAATATCTGTTCGATACTTCGAGTTATTTATGATTTATTGCCACAAATTAGATCAGATGATATAAGTCCGCCTTGAGTTTTCTATTGAATATTATGATGCGGTAAGGGGAAGATAAGATTAAAAATAATAAGGAAGGTTTTCTTTCAGTTGTTATCTCTAAAATCAGCCTTTTTTAAACACTTCATTCATTTGCAGAATTTATAAAATATAAAGCACGTATCAAGGATAAAAGTAACCCGGCAATCATGTCATGTATATCTGCTGACTAAATATTTATATAAGCAGTGGCAATTGTTTAATTTTTTTGTAAAGATATACATACATTTTTTACGTATTGATATAAAAATATTTAGACCACAATAAGCAGCAGTAAATATAATTAACACCAGAAAAAAAATCGTTAAACAAACTTTTGATCATTATCATTTGCTATTTTAAAAGAAAACTGTACGACTATTTTGCTGTCATTTATTAGGGATTATCAATTCTTTAATTTTGTAAACCGCACTTCATCAGAAAGGCAGATTTCTTTTATTTCCATTAAAACAAGATGTGTTTGTGAAATACTGATGCTCCCGTATGGCGGCTAATGACAGCGGTTAAATTTTCTCAAATGCAAGTCAAACTCCAAAGTCAGGCACAAGAGATCGAGAAACGATGTAACCCGAGGAAAAGACTTGTGTCAATGGATAAACCTGGTAAATATGTAAGCCCAAGCACCAACCATTCAAAAGTTATGGTCAACGATAATGTTTTCGAAAAGTGGGTCAAAATTCAAGGTCAAAATTATTGGTACGCAGGGGATGACCTTGTATTAAGAAATACACATGCAAAATATAAATAGTCCTAGCACCAACTGTTTAGAAGTTATCGTGAAGGTTAAAGTTTTCAAAGGGAGGTCAAACTCAAAGTTCAAAGTCAAAATTGTTGGTATCCAAGAGAAAGTCTTGTCACAAGGAATATAAATGTAAAAAATTTGAAAGCCCTTGTACTAATTATTCAAAAGTTATTGCCAAGGTTAAAGTTTTTTAAAAGTGGGTCAAATTATAAGGTCAAGGTCAAAAATATTTACTCCCATGCAGGGAATGGTTTGCAAATGTCACGATGAATATACATGTGAGATATGAAAGCCTTAGCACCAACTGTTCAAAAGTTGGTGCCAAGGTTAAGGTTGGGTAAATTTTTGCAAAAGTGGGTCAAACTCAAAGGTCAAGAGGTCAAATTTATTGGTACCCAAAGGTTGTGTTGTCACAAGGAATACACATGTGAAATATGAAAGCCACAGCTCTAACCAATCAAAAGTTATTGGCGATGTTAAAGTTTTTGTGAACAGTCGGACGGACAGGGCAAAATCTATATACCCACGAATATTCGATTACGGGGGCATAAAAACAGACAATCAAAGAAATAACTTTCCGGTAAAAACTGATAAAAGGAAATTTTCAAGGTTCTTACCGCACGATCATGAAAGATTAAAATTGCAAAGGTCACACACGATCTCTCACGTTACTCGAAACGATAATGCTCGTTTCACGAAAGATTCTACACAATTGGTTTGTCAACAATAACATTGCAGCCACTGTATTTAATGAAAACTCTTCTGTTTAGGAAAAAGCCTCTTTGGTTTATCTGCAAGTATTTAGAAACTTTTTAGGGTATTCGACCTAAAGATATTTGGGAGAGGAACTTGTGTCCAATCCCATTGACATAGTGTCAATAAAATATGTTCAAAACGAAAGAAAGATATGCATTTCATTTTCAAGAATTTTGCGTAATGAAGCATTAGCTTATATAGACTTTGAATTTACTGTGAACATTTTCTTAACCTATTTAGCGTGATATTGATTCTCTTAATTTTAACTCTTTACAGGCCAATGTAGAATAACGAACTGTCAGACATGCATAGAAGCTTCTGGTGGGACGTCGTCATGCTCACGTTGCAACAATGGATACTTCCCTTTGTCAACGGCTTGTCAACCCTGTAGCCAGGGATGTAAAGCGGTCTCGTCAGGATCAGCATGTGATGCATCCACTGGTATTTGTGTCAGTGGTTGTAATACTGGTTGGATAGGAGAAAAATGTGATCGTTGTGACAGTAATTTTTTCAGTGCAGGAGGATATTGTTACAAATGTAGCGACGAGTGTGTAAACTCTTGTGACGGAACAACCGGCAGCTGCTTTGGAGGATGTCGCGAGGGCTTCTGGGGAATAAGCTGTGAAAATAGATGCAGTCCTTTCTGTTTAGGAATGACCTGTTACTATACAAACGCTACATGTACTGCGGGTTGTGTTAACGGGTTTTATGATAATCGATGTGAGACTCCTTGTGGAGCCTGTCATTGTGAAAGACGGACAGGATCTTGTATTGGTTCGTGCGATGCTGGATGGTATGGAGAAAAATGTGACAAAAGATGTCATTCTGCCTGCTATATTGAAACTTGTAATCGAAATGATGGGCACTGCACACACGATTGTCCCACTGGATTATATGGACCATTCTGCAACACGAACTGCAGTACCGGATGTGATGGAAAATGTAATAGAGATACTGGAGTATGCTCAACTGGATGCAAGCCTGGATTATTCGGAGACATTTGCACTAGTCTGTGTAATGCGAACTGTAAAACTGGATACTGCTCTAGATCCGATGGATTGTGTGTAGGTGATTGTATAGATGGATATTTTGGTGATTACTGTTCGAAGATTTGCGCCAGTTCCTGCAGTGGTAACTGTGATAAAAGCTCAGGATTTTGTTCTGATAAGTGCCAAGACGGACGATTCGGCAATTTCTGCGAAAAGATTTGTACCACTGGTTGTTCTTCTAACACCTGCGATCGAACTTCAGGAGTATGCCCCTCCGACTGCACGTCTGGGTTGTACGGATTATTTTGTAACCAATCTTGTGCGACTTGTGATTCAACTGGCTGTGATAAGTCGAGTGGAGTCTGTAATAGTCAATGCGATCCTGGGTATTTCGGTAGCATGTGCACTAATCGCTGCTCTTTTGGTTGTCTTAATGAACTGTGTCAGAGACGCAATGGAGATTGTATAGGAGATTGTAAGGTTGGCCGTTTCGGTGCAAATTGTTCCCAGTTTTGTGGTTCTAACTGTAATAACAATATTTGTTTAAAAAGTTCCGGAGATTGCTTCAGTTGTTCAAATGGTCGATATTATGGTCAAAAATGTCAAAACGCATGTCCAAACTGCGATTCACAGGGTTGCTCTTTTGAAACTGGTGTGTGCATTGGGTCTTGTTTGCCTGGATTTCACGGAGCAAATTGTGGTCTTCGGTGTAGCGCAAATTGTGCAAATCAGATGTGTGACCGAACCTCTGGGAAATGTTTGAAATGTAAAGAGGGATTTTATGGGTTTAATTGTTTAATGCCCTGTAACGCAAATTGTCCATCATATTTGTGTGAGCAAGACACCGGATATTGTTCTAAAAATTGTTCAAACAACTCTTGGGGCCAAACATGTGCAGAGAGATGTAGTTCGACGTGTTTTCAACACACATGTGAGAGAGATACAGGATATTGTCATGCTTGCGATGAGGGATTTTACGGATTGACTTGCAATCTGAATTGTAGTAATCAATGTTCCTCAAGAACTTGTGATCGGTCTATTGGCTCCTGCATGGGCTCCTGTAATGTTGGATATTATGGATATAAATGCGAGTTTAAATGTGTCGAGTACTGTAATGGTTCTTGCAACCAAGTAACTGGAACTTGTGACAATCTTTGTCCGCATGGACGGTATGGTGATTACTGCTCTTTAAACTGCAAGGAAACATGCTTTGGAAGCGATAACAAATGCATTCGATCTTCAGGTCATTGTGAAATGGGTTGTGATGTAGGTTATTTTGGCAACTTTTGTAACTTAACATGTCCAAATTGCGACAGTTTCGGTTGCCGTATATCTGATGGCTCTTGCATCGCTTCCTGTAAGGTAGGATACCATGGACCGTCTTGTAGCCGTTCGTGTAGCCAGACTTGCAGTAATCTGACATGTGCCAAAAATAATGGTTATTGCACTGAAAGCTGTTCAGTGGGGTATTTTGGTAACACATGTGAAAATGTATGCAACTCAAACTGCGATTCTTCTGGTTGTCATAGATCTACGGGTGTTTGTTTAGGATCTTGTAAACCAGGTTATTATAATCCAACATGCTCAGGAGTATGCAGCTCGCAGTGCAAAGGCGGAACCTGTGAACGTTTTAATGGTACCTGCTCAGAATGTAACATCGGCTATTATGGGGACTTCTGCAATTCGACTTGCAGCAAATGTGACAGCCAAGCATGCAGTCACGCAGAGGGTAAATGTTTTGGAGAGTGTCAGGTAGGGTACTTTGGTGAAAAGTGCGACAAACTTTGTAGCCAAACCTGCGGTACGGCATCTTGTAATAAACTTGATGGCCATTGTTCTGCTTGCAGAGATGGCTATTTCGGTCTAATTTGCGCATCACCATGTAACTCATTTTGCATCAGTAACAAATGTAACCAAACCTCTGGATATTGTACTTATGATTGTACAAAAGGGTATAAAGGCAATTATTGTAATGAACAATGCGATGCAGCATGTGCGGATGATACCTGTGATAGATATAGCGGTGCGTGTGTTGATAGTTGCAACACTGGTAAACATGGTGAATTTTGTCAGCTAAATTGCAATTCAAACTGTGGTTCTGGAACTTGTCTGAAAGAAAATGGAGATTGTATTGGTGGTTGTCGTACAGGGTATTACGGAAAAAAATGCGACATTACATGTAGCCTTCAATGCTCATCATCATGCGATCAGATTTCGGGATTTTGTAATGGCCAATGTAAAACTGGTCATTACGGAAACTTCTGTGAAATTCAGTGTAGCGCTTTTTGTAAAAGTGACAGCTGCGATAAAATCACAGGGGCCTGTACAATGGGATGTGACAAAGGGTATTATGATACATACTGTAACCAAACGTGTAGTACCTGTGACGATGTCGGTTGTAACGACCGAACAGGTGCTTGCTTAGCCAACTGTGATGTAGGTTTTTATGGCTCCCATTGTACATCACAATGCCAAAGCACCTGTCGAGGCGCTTGTCAAAAAACAACAGGACTTTGTTTAAATTGTCCTACTGGTTACTACGGAGATTACTGCTTACAAAACTGTGCCAATTGTGACAGCAACGGATGTGCCATATCGGATGGAACGTGCATCGGATTATGTAGAAATAATTTGTTCCATGATCAGTATTGTAGATCTTCTTGCAACGGAAATTGTCTAAAGGGTACCTGTAATAAGAACACCGGAAATTGTGATGCCTGTATCCAGGGTTACTATGGTCCAAAATGTACTTTATCATGCAGTGGTAATTGCCAGCAGAATATGTGCAGAAGAAATGACGGATATTGCACGAACCCTTGCTCAGAACGGTACTATGGACCAATTTGCACTTCAATTTGCAGTGTAAACTGCCGTAGTGGTTGTGATCGAGAAACTGGTGTGTGCAATGCTTGCATTGATGGTCGATTCGGTGAGTACTGTGACAGAGCCTGTAGTACAACTTGTGGAACAGGAGGCTGTAATAAACAAGATGGAAAATGCATTGGATCCTGTGTACAAGGGTATTTTGGAGACTATTGTTCTTTCCAGTGTAGTGCATCCTGTGCTGGAAGTTGTAATAAAACAACTGCTTATTGCATCGGCGATTGTCAGAATGGCCACTACGGAAACTTCTGTGAGCTAGACTGTAGCACTGGTTGCATAGGCGGAGTATGTACCAGAAGTAATGGTGTTTGTGGCAGGGGTTGTAAAACAGGGTACTGGGGCGCGTTCTGCAATAACACTTGTCCAACATGCAATGCAAACGGATGCTATCAAAACAATGGAACCTGCATGTCCCTATGTCTTCCTGGCTTTTACGGAGCATTTTGCTCTCTTGCCTGTAACTCAAATTGTAAGGATAATCGATGTGCCCAGTCGACAGGCATTTGCTATGAATGCAAAGACGGGTATTTTGGAGAAAAATGTGATTCTCCTTGCAGCAGCGGATGTACTTATAATGCATGTTTTAAATATACAGGTATGTGCAAGAAAAATTGTAAAAAAGGATTTTACGGAAGTAACTGCAGCAGGGCATGCGTTGGGTGTAATGAGTGTTTCCGTGATACAGGTTACTGTGCAAATTGCACGTCAAATAAATATGGAACCAACTGCCAGTTTATCTGTAGTTCCAATTGTAGGTTATCTTCAGGTGGGCAACTAATGTGCGATAAGGACTCTGGTGCATGTCGGTATCAATGTAGAGATGGTTGGTGGGGTGCGAAATGTGATCAGGCCTGCGGTAATGGGTTAGGATGTCAAAGTTCTACATGTGATGTCAATACTGGCTTTTGCTTAACACTGTGCTCTGATGGCTTCTTCGGAGATAGATGTGAAAAGCAATGCGTTGCCACTTGTGCTGGCAACAGGTGTGATAAGGCTTCAGGTACCTGTTCAAATGGATGTAACCATGGATATTTTGGATTAAATTGCTCTCAGCAGTGTGGCCAAAACTGTTTGTCTTGCGATTTTCAGACAGGCAGTTGCAGTGTTTGCGTTAAAGGAAGTTACGGAACTACTTGCCAGTTCAATTGTAATAGTAACTGTAATGTTAGCATTGGGGTTGAACAGGCATGTTCTAAGGACTCAGGTTATTGTCTCCATGATTGTAATCCAGGATATTTTGGAAACGACTGCTCACAATCGTGTCCAGGTCATTGTTTTAGTGGAAGCTGTAACAGAGCAAACGGACAATGTGATGATGAATGTAAGAATGGTAACTACGGTCTTTTCTGCAACCATAGCTGCCTTAATTGCTTAGATGTAAGCGGGGAACCAATGTGTCATCGAACAACAGGTACATGTTCAAAGGGATGCAAACTTGGATTTTTCAATAGACAGTGTTCACAAATTTGCTCTTTAGATTGTCAATCCCGCGCATGTTTCGGAACAAAGAGAAATTGTACTTTTGGGTGTCTTCAAGGACATTTTGGTTCCGACTGCACATCAAAATGTAACCCGAACTGCATCAACGATATTTGTGAAAGAGCGTCAGGGGAATGCATTATTGGATGTCGACCAGGTTCATATGGATCTCTATGTATGTATAATTTGATTTTCTAACTTTTGAATCGCAAATAATGTTAATTATAAATAGGAAAGTTAAGTTTTTTTCATGATATATATGTATTTTTAAGGCAGCTATGTCAGATTAAGGGTTATTGAAATATAAAACACTGGGTGAAATAAGCAGTTTCCCGTTATGGGAAACTATATGGAAACCACATGGAAACCAAGTTTACATCATGTTTCCTAGTGGTTTCCGCAGCGGATGCCAGGTTATTCCGTCAAGTTTCCGTACCAAGGAAACTACTACGCTCCGATTCCATTAGGTATCCCGAACCACGGAAACCTCAGGAAACCTGAAGTTTCCCGAGCCTCCATGTAGTTTCCCGTAATGGGAAACCCGAAGATTCCACTGGTTTCCATAATAAGGAAACTTGATGGAATCCTCAGATTTCCCATGAACGGAAACTAGAGGAAACCTCGTGATTCCTGAAGTTTCCATGACTCAGGAAACGACATGGAATCGGGGCATAGCGGTTTCCGTTTGATGGAAACTTGGTAGAATTATCTGGTGTCTCATAAAAGGAAATTACAGGGAAATTTCAAGATTCCCTTATTTTTCTGAGACGGGAAGCAATGTGTAATTGTGGTGTAATAGTTTCCATACCATGGAAACTACAGGGTAGGTTGAGCATTTCAATTTCGCAAAATGATTGACAAGCAACTGGAAGCTCAAGGATCCCTGTATTTTCCATGATAAATCTCTCTTGTCTAGAATGTGAAAAGAAAACAGCAGGTTTAATTAAATCAAAAAATATATTATTAATTTCCTTGGTAAACTGTATTTTCTTTTCAAAATCTATCAAGAAAATATATAAAAAGGAAAAAGAATTATCAAATCATATGTTTAAAAATTCATTTGATGTGCAAAACCTTTACTTGAAAATGATATCAAAATAAATAAAGTCATATATCTTGGTATACAATGAAGTAGTCTTTCACATCTAAGTCCATTCATAAACTTCATTAAATACTCTATACTTCTTTCAACATCAGCTTCCTTTGTATTTTCTTCACATCATCTGCAATCTGCAATATATTTTCATACAAAATTATTATTTGATGTAAGAATTGTATGCTTGAATATTATTTAGAAATCTGACAAGATCACTCAATGTCCTTAAATGTACCAATATCAGTGATTAGTTTCAGTCTTTAAATTTAATGACCATGAAATCTGAATAATGAACATTACATAGTAAGGTTTTAAGCCAGATTAATATTAAAGCAGGTATGTTTGAGAATATGACCATCTCATACATGTAGAACACTGCTTTTAGTTGAGTGAATTGGAGAGATATGTGCTCTTGACGAGGATATTACAAATCTTTTTTTTTCTTATTAATTGACATTTGACCTAGAAATTTTGTTAAAGATCACTGAAAACCCTTCATCCCATGGCATACAAGCCAGATCATACCTAGGGAGAAAAATTATGCTCTGGATATATAGTGTATTTTGATACTGACCTTTGACCTAGATAATTGGTCCAAGGTCACTTTTTACCCTCCATCCACAGGCACTCTATGAGTTAAATTTAGTGAGATTGGGCTGAGGAGAGAAAATATACTCGGGACAAGTGATATCAGATGGACAGACAGATCTTCTCATGGCATCTGCAGAACAGGACCCTAAAAAAAACAATGCACATACATGTTAAGCTATATCCATACGAGTCAATATGAATTCATCATATGTTGCATTGCATACACATGCTTTAATCATGTTTAATACCTTATGAATAATTTCATATTGCATGTTCACTCAGTTTACATACAAATAATCTAAATTTCATCAAAAACGACCAAACATATCAGCCATTCAAGATTTAGCTAATCAACATTCAGTACAAGTTCTATATGCTATATCATATGTACAGACACATACTAGTATTATTAACCTACATTCTAAATCTTGTTTAATGTCACTGAAAATTAAGGCGATAGCCATTAACCAATTTTTACCCCCAATTTACATACATGCATGTTGTAATGTTTGTTCAAAACTTCTCATTTATAAATATTACCTTATAGTATATTTAGTTAACATATACCTACAGTTAAAGCTTCAAAGTGTTTCATTGAATATTTTAGAAATTACAGTCATCAAAATACTGACCAGCCAGAAATCAGTATATTTTTACTTTTCATTATTGTCTTGTTTCATTTAACATGTTTCAATGTTAGAAAGTTTTAGTAAGTTATAATATTTACTACTTTAGCATAGCCATACAGTTGAACTTTGGCATCTCGAACACAGACATCTCGAATACCATAGATATGTCGAAGTAATTTGGAAGTATTCTTTAAATATTTTACTCCTGATATCTCGAATCCTCAAATACATGTATCTCAAAATAATTTCAATTGAACTTTGAACCTTGACAAAAGGACTCTTAAACAAATATTCATTATTCTTAAAATAAAGTCTACAGGTTACAAAATTATAAGTTGCTCAACAATGATCATATCAATAATATCTAAAAGAGTTGATCATTTCCCCTTGGGGTGAAGGGGGGGGGGGGAGGGGGGGCTTCCTCTATACAATTTAAAATATCTTTACTTTGTGTCAACCTTGGTTAAAATTAGTGGTTCTTGAGAAGTAGAAAATGTGAAAAGCTCACAAATGGATAGACAGTTTGATGGACAAACGACGAAAGGTGATCAGAAAAGTTCACTTGAGTTTCTAGCTCGGGTGAACTAAAATCCTCACTACATGGTGTATATTATGCTAGGTATCATTCAGACAGAAAATTTTATAGAGAAGTGAAAAAGACTCCAAGCCATACTATTTCAAAAGGCCAAACAAAAAATATGTCTGTTTACTGTTACATGCTGAAATAAAATAGGGTCGGTAGGTAGGATTTTTATTTTATTTTATTGAATTTTGTTATACACAAATTCACATGCATTGGTTGAAATACAAAACAGTTTTACCATTGTGTGGTGCTTTACCTTTGTTTGGGCTTGCCATATGGGCGATAGACAATATCTTTCTTGCCAACTGCTTTACAGCTACCACACGATGAAAAAACTGTCTTTTATTTCTTCTTTAATTCCATGTAGCACTAACTATTTCTAGTACTTTCGATTTCAAACGCTTGACCGATTAAGATGCATGTAAAAGTTAAACCGACGAATGAGTGACTTCTGGATTTTCACGATGAAAAAAAATTTGGGTTGGCTATTAGATATAGGGTCGGTCGGGTAACCGTTAATAAACATATTTTTTTATTATGCTTAACCTGTTGTAGTTTGCAGCTGGTAGTTCAAAATTCCAATTAAAATTGGAATCAAGTTCTTTTCTTTTAATGCAATTGTCATACATGCCTATTTATGATTGAATTAATTACCACTTACCACATGATTACATCTTGATTCATCATACATCTTTAGTTACTGGTGCTCCTTTAATGTCAGTTCTCTCCTCTCTGAAAGAATATATTATGTACAGTTACTATTGCATTCTGATTTCACTTATAGACCAACAATAAACAAGAGTCCCATGGGTCACACTGCTCACCTGAGCACTTTGGGAAGGAAAAAGCATAAATCAGTTCAGTATTAAAAAGTTTAAATACAATGGTTCGGAGGGGGGTGGGTGAATTCTACACTTTCTAAAGATGCTTTCGAATAAATATGACACATATTAGCATTGCTGTTCTTAAGAAGAAATTTTTTTAAGGTCTTCCGTTTTCACGGAAGACATATAGTGATTCTACTGTTTCTTCTTATTATTTTTATTATTTTTTTTGACTTTCTAATTTTGTGCACGCGATTTCTCGAAGACTATTGCATAAAATTTTCAGGAAAGATGTGTCGTAACATGAACTTGATCTATCTGAGAGAAAATTTGGAAATTTACTTCCGGTGCCAAGTTACTGACCATTTTCTGAATTTAAAATTACATTTTGTCCGCGGATAATCTCAGGAACGGTAAAATATGAGTTTCTAGTTATTATTATTATTTTTCCGCCCATGTAATTTTGTGCACGCGATTTCTCAAAGACTACTTGATGGAATTTAATGAAATTTGCAGGAACAATGTGTTGTAATCTGAAGTTATTTTATCCGAGAGATTTTTTGGAAAATCACTTCCGGTGCCAAGTTGCAGACCATTTTCTGAATTTAAAAAGACATTCTGTCCGCAGATAATCTCAAGAATGGTAAAAGATATCAATGTGAAACTTTCAAGGATTATAGATCGTTGTAAATCCTAGCGGGACATGACCTTAAGTTCGTTGTCGGTACTTCCGGTCGTTAGCGGATGCGAATTTAAAAACTTGAATTTTCTAATTTTTTTGTTTTTCAATATTTTTCTTTGATATAAGTAGGGTTAATAGAGGCATTTCCAAGAAGGCTTAATATATAATTTGTTTAAAAATTGATAAATCTAAACTCTAGGTATTCGCAGTTTAAAATTTGAAGCGGGTTCAAAATGGCGGCTGTCCCCGTAAACTCCGACAAGCAGGTCGACACTCGGAGCTCTTCGGGTGGCTGGTACCTCGCACACTAACCTACTACGTCAACGGTGTTCTATTATTTCGGGTTTAATCCCGATTATGTCTGAATTTTCTTTCTCATTTTTTACGTTTTCATTTTTATAAATGTTGTTTTTTCTGTGTGAATCCTGCACTATTTTCATTTGTTTTAAATAAATCCTTAAAAATCTTTGCATTTTAGAAGGACCTATGTTATATTTTACGGACATTGGCAAATCAAAGTTTTCCTAAGAAAAAAAAGGTTAAATACATGGTTTTTTTCACTTATGAAATACTGATTGAGAGTTATCTCCCGTGTAGAATTCTCTAAGCGGTGAAAACCAATAAAGCATATGTTTACAGAGGTAAACAAAAAGCATGTGTACTTCCTTCAACGAGTAGAATCATCTATACAGCAAGAGAGAAAAGTAGTAATGGCTTTGTTGTATATTGTATTCAGGAGACAAAGAGCCAACAGGTCGTCATTTACCATA